TGTGGGCCGAATAGCGCTGTAAATGCAGGTTGTATGCGACGGTGGTCATGAGTTCGATGCTGAAATCGGGATAGTTAGATCTTAGTTAAAAATAAATGTACGTAGGAATCTGCTAGATATTAAAACAAACGCCTTATAGGGGCGCTGTAAGAGAGTCCGTATGGTTCTGTAAGTGGTCACCATGCCACATATCCCCCCAATAAGACAATCTATGGACACAGTCTAACTACTACTATCAATCCCCATCTAGACGCCTCCGATGACCGCATCGGAGGCGTCAAGATGGGGCAATCGTGCGGTGCGATGCGGGACGAGACGCGGGTGGGAAGGCTTCCGAGCGGCCGTTAATCGCTCGGGAGCTGTCCGCTATGGTTGTCCTGTCACGCAAATATAATAAAATGGTTCACACTACATTTGCGGCACTACACAGCCAAAATCAAGTGTTCTGATAACCATATCAATTTATTGTTTATGTTTGCTTTTCCGACAATATCAAACGCAATGACTGGCTGCCAGTTCTGGACTTTTGATGGGTAATAATAAAAGAAAAATAAGAAGTGATTATATTGTAACAGTTTCGGATAACCAACAGTTAACGAAACGCTTTCTAAACATAGCAACCAACATATAACTCCAGCGAAATCCTCAAAATAATAAAAATCATGGTCACCGTAACATGGACTGGCATAACTCAACACTTCGTCAATTTTTTTTTAAATTTACATAACTTATGTATCTACCTGTGTATTACATGTATTAACTTAATTATAGCTTTAAGAAATTTCGGATACGCGTATCTTATTAGAATAATGATACAGTTGGGTTCATCTAGACGAAACAATCTCCATCGAAATGGTCTATGAGGTTAATTTTAAAAATAAATACAGCGATTTAACACTGTATGACGCCATAGCAGAAAGATATGTGAAGTAAACTACAGTTACAGTCATTAGTTCAGTTTATAAACTTGATGGAGCCATGCTGCACCTATATTGTGGTTGCAACACGAATGGGTCGGCTCGACCAGGGAAGGACCCCGCTCTTACCAGCTTAATACCAGCGTGAAACAGCAGAATAATGCCGTGTTTCTTATGGTGAGTATAAAGAACCAGAGACACTTTTTACTGGTAATGAGGCATTTCATCAGTTCTCAGGGGCGACAACGCATCTGCAGTTTAATTCTTAATCGAGTATAGATGTCTATGGTCCACATCATCCGTTTACCATTTTATTCCCCTAATTCTAGAAAAACCTATGTACGTTTCTCAGCTGGGCACAAGTCCATCTAATAGAGGCTGTTCTAAACTGCTCTTACAGGTAAAAGATCCTACCAGTCGAGATTACTTCAAATATTGCCCTTACCGCTTAAAAAAAGTTCGTCGTACTTTATATCGATATGCGCAACAGCAGACCTAAAATCGATAGTTGCATGCGCATCACTAACGAGCTGTTCTATGGTCACTAGTCGCAAAAGTACACAAGTATGTCTATTTGTATGCACTTTCACACGCTTCACGCGCGCTTGATTGGTGTTAAGCGCACTGTTGGATTCAATTTGCCGCGGGGGGGCCTAGGCTACAGGTGTCAAAAAATATTTATGAATATTATTCTTTTGGTTCATTGGAATACTTTTTGTCTATCGTTATTTCTATCTAATTCTCTCTCTCTCTCTCTCTCCCTCTCTCTCTCTCCCTCTCCCTCTGTCGAAAGCGAACTTAAAAAGATAAGTTTTATTAAATTAATGGCAATTGAGAATGAAGTTTATTCATTTCATTACCAATTACCATTGCCAGGCTAGGCTCTTCAAAGCCGTGACAACTTGGGGATTCGATTCCAACTCCAAACGGCATCTGATTTACCACGTGTTAAGTTATTTAGGAAAACATCGTTAGGAAACCTTTTCGTCTGAAAAATTTAAAGGTATTTCGAAAACATGTCAAGGTCACCAATATTCGCTGAGGCAACGCAGCGGATCAACAGTTTCTTAACTTTTTCAGAAATAAAAGCAGATTCGTTCCGGAATATAACTTTTAAAATCCTGACTAAAAATTTTGTGTGCCTAAAATTATTATTTTCTACATTTTAGGATAAATGCACTAATTCGAACACCTACTTACACCTTTATTTGACTGTTGCTTTAATGACGAAGCTATATAATAGTGATAATATTATAGAACATCCTCCTATAGAATAGTTTAGTAAACTGTACATTGGCGCGTTTCCTCTGGCGCGCGTTACGCGTCACTTGAACCGTGGAATTTTTTTGTTATTGGTTAAATTTGAGGATTCGGTTTAACACTGTAGTTTTTGTCACCACTAATGTTTTAGCTCGTTTGTAGTGAAAAAGTGTAACTGAAAACAGTTCTCAATTCAGAGTTTGTCAATTATGTTTAAACATAAAAGGCGAATACATAGTTATCACTGGCGATTACATTATAATTCACAGCCTGTAAATGACATTGGCTGCCTCGTATGGTGTAAGAGATTTTCTGTCATGAAATTATCAGTGGTAGCACGAAGTTAGAAAGTTGGCTGGTCGAGGAGTACACGAAAAGTCGTTGGTATTGCGTCTGATATCTCTCCGGGCTAGTCTGAATTCCGTGCCCTCTCCATGGCAATTGCAGCGTAAAGTAATTATATCGAAATGAAGTTCCTTATCGCATGGTACGAATTTGACGGATGGGGAATAGGCGAGAAAAAGCGTAAGAGTTTTCCGTAACGAACCCCTTTCTTTAGTGCGAGCGAGAAGGAATAATATGAATCTCACACGTTCTTTTTCTTATCTTGCCATGAAAGAATTATTTTATATGTCACTTAATTAATTTAATTTATTTGTATTTGTTAATCAATAATATAATACGTTTATCAATAATAATATACTACGAAAGGAACTTCGTTCCAACAAAGTGTTCCACGACACAGTTACAGTAAAGAAAAAAAACATGTATGTTTTTTTTCTTTACTGTAACTATTTACCAAAACAATTTAAAAAGAAAAGACCTATTGGCTTCATGGTGGCAGAAGACTATTGCCTTTTGATTCTTAATCAATGATAGATTAACGTGGTAGAGCCACGCTGCAGCTATATGATGGTTGTAGCACGAAGGGGTCGGCTCGATCAGGGAAGGACTACGCTCTGTATTCCTTCACTGTCAAAGTTTGAAGGGACGGTAATCCAACACGACCGGAAATCGATCAGGCGGAGGAACTATGGATTTAAGATGCACACGGGGGTGAGATACCCCCAACTTTCTGACTGCTACTTTAATTATTGATTTTTTGGTCCGACTCGAGATTCGAACCTCGCACCTCATGGTCTCCAGTAGCGTTTAAGACTACTAGATCAACGAGACATTTGAAAACAAGTGAAAACCAGCATAATCTATGCGTGATCATTGCAGACAGTTGTACTGTTATCACTATTTAAAAATAAGACGCGATGGTCATTACATTTCCTAAATACCCCTGGGTTGTACCAATCTCTTAATCGTTTTGCAACAGCAAATTGGCGCGATTACGTAATGCCCTCTCGTGGGAAGGTGAAACCGTGGCTTTTTTGCGCAACGCATAAAACAATGAGACCGCATCTCGAGGGATTATTAAAGTGTTGTTAGGTAATACTTTATAGAGGATATCTGTTTTGGTCGGGTTATACCTGAAATGACTGTCTAAGTTTTTTCATCTAGTGGTTTAGATAAGGGCTTTGTACTTTTTTATATAAATGTTCTAACCAGCGACCTTATATTTCACTAGATGGTAAGTGGCTGCTGCGTTTTTATGGACATCTGCAGCTGCAGCCAACTTCAAACAAAAAAGACCACAGAAGGACTAAGATGGAATGCCTTAAAGTCTGTAATTATACTCACGTTACCATTTAACCGGAACACAACAGAGCATTGTCTCCTATTTGATGCCATAAATAGGCACGAACGTCGAACGTCAACGAAAGAAAAGAAGAGCAGACCGACTCTTTGTCTTATTTCTTTGTGGTGTTAATATTTTTTATGACTTGACAAGAAACAGCAACATTTCTGTCTGTCAACTGTTAAAACGACTGGAAGACGATTAATAAAATATACAAAAATTATTTTCTTATCAGAAATCCTTGTGGATACCAACAAAACCACTCACCGAAGTATCATCGTAATCGAATTTATTTAAATTCCTTGGGCGAACGTCAAACTTGACAGATCCAATTACAAACTTATACATTTTTGATAAGTTCTTTATTCTGTGGGAACAAGTCATAAATATATCGCAATATTTACACAGTTTTGTGCATTGTAAATGCAAACATTAACAAAACATGTTGTGTAACTTATTCTATAAGACAAGTTTCGAAACATTACAAGTTGAGTAAAAACGCACGATTATAGCTACAGATATGATACAACATAATAACATAGCTAAATAACAATAAACATTTGCATGTCGGTGACGCAAACTCATAAAATTTTACATATCTAAAAATCGCTCAACGCGCTTAAAAAGTTTTTACTTAAAAAATAAATCAGTCGAACTTTTTTATAGAATAAAGGTGACAAACGAGCACTTAGTCTTCCTAATGGTAAGCGGATACTGTGACTCATAGCATTTACATATTATATCCTCAATTGAGAATCATAATGCAGATGCATTGTCACCCCTGAGGACTAAGACGAAATACCTTTTTTTTTTATAGGATCGGGTGACAAACGAGCACACAGTCCACCTGATGGTAAGTGGTTACTGTGACCCATAGATATCTATCTATCCTCAATAAAGACTCAAGATGCAGATGCGTTGTCACCCGTGAGGACTAAGATGGAATGCCTCTTTGCCAGTAAAAAGGGTCTCCGGTTCTCTACACTCACCATACGAAACACAGCAGCGTTAAGCTGCTATTTTACGCTGGTTTTCTGTGAGACCTCTAGACCTCATTTCCACTAACGGGTTTAATTGTTCACCTACTCTTTTTTTTTGAAGTCGACTGAAAGTAACACAAACTTGTTTGTTCACAGACGTTAAGAGAAGCAGTCGCGATGGCGGACACGGATACAGAGACGCTGCCCAACGGCAACGGCCCGCTCTCCAACAACGAGGCGGAGGAGGAACGACTGAAGCAGCGGCCGGCGGACATCGACGCTGTGAGTCACCTTTTGACGTGAACACGTCTTTGAACTTGCTTTCATAGTGGGAGGCAATTCAGAAAACTTATGATAACTAAATCGAGGCATACTAATTAAAACTTGTTTTTACGGATTTTATCGCGTATTAACTATATTAACTTATTTTATATTCCCGACGTTTCAAGGACTTTACAGCACCCATTGTCACGGGGGGGACAGAGGTGTTTTACGTCCCAATGTTAGGTCAATAGTTAACCACGGCAACCTCCAGATAAAAATTATTAATTATTTTTCCAATCTACACAGTATGAACTTATAATATCTTGAAGTCTCGCAGTTGTATGCTTGGGTTGGGATTTAATTTTATTAATTATAGGATGCCAAGCAGATGGTAGCACCCAGCCATCTTTTCTATTGAAATTAGGATGTTTTTTGAAAAACCCACTCGCGAGAAACCCGCATGTCTAAGAATAAAATATCTGGAAGACATTCGAAGTCTGCCAATACCCACTGGAGCAATGAAGCAGTAGAACGTATATATAACGTTTTTCTGTGTTCTGTGGGCAGATATTATTATGGCTTTCTCAAAAATACGGATACCCTCGTACTGATAATGTTGCCTTAATGTGTTTCCAGTCTAATCAACAACTGTTTTATAATAGAATAAGGGTGACAAACGAGTACACAGTCTCCTGACTAAATGCTGTGATCCTGAATGTGATAGACATCTACATGTATCCACGAATAAGAATCAATATTGATTCGCCATCCTAAAGACTAAGATGGAATGCCTCGTTTCCAGTAAAAAGGGTTTCCGTTTCACTACACTCACCATACGGAATATATCATCTTTAGTCTCAGAGTCCTTGTTTGTAGTTGGCTGTAGTTGTCCATGGTCAGGTGGACTGTAAGTTAGTTTGTCACTTCACTAGAATGTACATGAATTGTTAGAAGTATGGGGGTGGGGGGGTGAATAACAGGTTCGTTACTAAAAAGTGCATTTCGTGTATCCAGGATGTCCGCGATATGGAGCGCCGGAAACGCGTCGAAGCGATCATGTCCTCGAAGCTGTTCCGCGAGGAGCTGGAACGGGTGCTGGACCAACAGATGCACGAGGGTAACGACGCGCCACTTCTGCAGCGCATACGGGAGATGGTCGGCGGACGGCTACATACTGGTAGCTTGCGGGTGAGTTTCTTCAAGTTCATCAGCCCATAACTGTTTCTACCAAGCAGCAGTAACCCCACTGGCATTTGAAGATTACCAACGTATTATCCTTGTCGCCGCCCAATATCCACATTATGGCTTCTCGTCGAAAGCAGGGAAGTGGTGTCCTAAATAAACAATTTAGTACTAGACTCTAGTCTACTTCACTAAGAGCGTTTATACAACGCCAAGACTCGTCATCTTTTCTAGTACGTAATACATTTTACTTCAATTATTTATTGATCATCATCGTTATCACCACTAAAATCATCATCATCATCACCATTGTCTTTGTCATTATTATGCAATGCGCGTTACTTACATAGTCTGTGCCCTAAAAAGGTGATCCACTTTTAAATTTTGTTCTCGGTGTCTTTTCTGGTAGGTACTTATTATTTCAATACCGTCGCTTGTGAATATACTTTAAATGTAACATCTATTATGCATCTATTTATTTATTTGTATAGATAATTAAGACTAAGAGAAGGTTAATAGGAGTTGGTGAGGCGGGTTATACCATCTCACCTATCTGTCGGAAGCCATTGATAATTAGTCAATCTTTAATAAATAAAAATAATTTTCCCCAGGGTCCCAGCTGCGTGCTTCCCATAAACGACATCCGGGGCATCGAGGGTGTAGGCTACGAGAAGGGGGAGAAGATATTGCGTTGCAAGTTAGCCGCCGTGTACCGTCTCGTCGATTTGTTCGGATGGACTCAGAGTTAGTATGGCCCTAGGGTTTTGTTTTTTAAGAATATTTAATCATGTCGAGCGTACTCCGCTACGTGCTAAGCGCTCAAGCGTGCTATAGTTATAATAGCATGCGATACAGTTCGATATTAACTAGTCAAACAAGTGATAAAATTAAAAATTTAGTACAACCGGCTTCAATGTAAATAAAATGAGAATATCGTCAATGTAGTCGAAGTCAATTAAATACGCATTATTAAGGATAACTCAAACACTACTGGTTCAGATCTTGATTAAATTTATATCGGACCACATGAAAAGCACCAGCATTAAAATAAAAAACAATCATCAAAAATTTTTGATGATTCTTTCAACTGATTTCGATGAAAAAGAATCATCAAAATCGGTTTACCTAGCAAAAAGTTCTGAGGTAACACACATTAAAAAAATACAAAAAAAAACCAGTGGATTGAGAGTACCTCTTCCTTTTTGAAGTCGGTAGAAAAAAGGATAAGAGGTGTAAGATAGAAACAGAGCCAACTTGTGAATATTATAACAGTAGGTAATTAGCGCTGTGCGACCTGAATTGCACTTTATTCTGTCGTAGCAAGAGTCGCTATTTATTTAAATGATTTTGCGGAGTGAATTATAATTTAATTTAATTCAAATTCCAGTTACGTATGTAGTAGGACTATTTTGCTATCCAGATGCCCGTCTTGGCGACCCTTATACGGACCTATTTCGGTCACCAAGCAAAGATTAAGAGAGATATACAGTAAATAGTATATATTCCTTTATTAAAGTAACGTTTTGTTCTTCACGACAATTCGTTTTATTACATACGAAGTGCATGTTAAATAGTTTTTATTAAAAATGAGACATCTTTAAAGGGTTCGTAAGTTGTTGAACTAGTATTTTGTTTTAAAGAGCGTATCTTCAACCGACTTCAAACAAAGTAGGTTACATACAGATGCTTAGTCGTGTCTGAGGACTAAGACGAAATGTCTCACAGCGTATAATTATACTGGCTCTCCAACCCTTCAGACCACAACAAACCAAGCGTTGCTATTTGGTTGCTGTAATAGGTAAGAAGGTGGTATCTACCCAAATAGACACCTCGGCAAAAAAGGAATCCAATACTGCATAGTAGTGAGTGTTAATGATTGTTCAAAATTATTTTAACTAAGCCCACAGGCAGACATGCGCGGGACGCGGTCGGCGTAAGTGGGAGGGGTAGTCACAGACAAACCTTCTGCTCGCAGGTCTTCCTAAGTTACGTTATATATATGGGTAAAACCACTCTTACCCTATATCAAATCGTATCTATGTATTGGATATCAAAATCTGATATTGATTTTATATATATTTCAATATCTATGTATAGTTAAATATCTATCTGATTCTGAACCTTTGTAAGAAAATCAGTATTCAGTGCTACACGGTTTTTCAAGGATTTGGTTTGCTTAGATTAAAAGATATACTGTAATATCTAACTATGATATTAAGTATTGGGTAATATCTATGATCTTTGAAACGAGTTTATCTTACAACAAAGAGTCGTAGTAGGTATATTTGTTTTACACATTGGTTATGTATGTTAGGTATATTTGTTTTACACAGTCCATCATATCTCTATATATAAAAATCAATTGCTGTCCGTTAGTCTTATCTCACACACACACACACACACACACACACACACACACACACACGCGCGCGCGCGCGCGCACGCACACGCACACACACACACACACACACACACACACACACACACACACACACACACACACACACACACCGCGCGTACGTATTTGTGAACGTATATACACGTGAACACGAACCAGTATAAGTATATATATAGGTATTGTATCTTACGATTCATATCGCCTTCTCCTTTACGTTATATTTACATTACTTTACCTTTTCCAGCTGGCATCACCGGTCTGATCACGGCGCGTCTGAACACTGCGGTGGAGCAGGTGCTCACGTCTCCACGCGGCCTGCTTCCTCACGAGGTGACGGCTTCCTCGCTCGTGAAGGTCGATATGCAGGGGGTCGTCCAGGATCAAGGCACCACCAACTTCCCCGTCAACCTTGATGGTGAGATTGGAAATGGCATACCTATTCACATTCTAAAGTATGGCAAATAATCTATTTTTTATTTTTTATTAATAGGATTATATATTTTTTGTGGTTTTTTCCTATGTCAATACACCACCAATGTGAGACGAGTTTCTTACATTAATTGCTCAGGGATATCCAGACCTATTACAATTGTTTGTAGCAAATACAAACATTTGTTCCACATAGGATTCGAACATGTGCATTTGGTTATCACGCTGTGGGTTAAAGCTATCAACAGTGGCACGCTGATGTCTAATCAGATGATTAAAGTTTAATCTACTTTAAGCTCATAGAACAACTTAGTGGGAGAAATAAATAAGGGTTTATTTATTGTTATTTTATTAATACTAGTCACTAGGTTAATGATAAATGTCTATTGTGGTGTAGTGGTAAAAGCATAATCGACTTACTACTGCTAATAATTAAGTTGTATGCCAAGTGTGCATCAGTATATAGTTCGTTTATTCATTCATTACAGGCTTTCAAAGTCCATTGCTGAACATAGGCCTCCACATACAGTGTCTCATAGTAGTTTTGCATGGTTTTCATATATCCGCAGTTTTTTAATTTTCTGCGTTATTAGAAAGACGCTGCTGCCCATCTCTTGGTTTGTTTCCCTCAATCGCCTTTTACAGTTATTGCGTTTTTTTTTAATCATGAAATCCTCAGTAGCAACCCGGAGTCAGGAAGTTGGCGGGTTTTTCTGTAAAGCCGTTGGTCCTGCGAATGATCTTTCCGGTCGTATCGAAGTGCCGTCCTATCGGACTATGAGAGTGAGGGAATAGCAATTGATCTTGTGGTTGCGCATACACTCGGCGACTGTAATCATATTCTGCGCAGATGCCTAGTGTCTGTTCAGACTGGCTACCGTGACTGAAATTCGGGAAGGGCCACGTTCGCACAGAACAACAGCTTAAAATAGCTGCTTAGTATAATAGTGTTGAGTGTTGCAACGAGGCATTCGATCTTAGTCTTCAAGGGTGACAATGTATCAGCATTTTGATTTTTAATTGAGGATAGATGTAGACTTGTGTGGGTTACTTAGCACTTACCAACTTTTATTTATCTTATTTTTCTTGGTCATTGTAACCCTTAGATTAAGGTGTATTATAATCAAGATTAAATAAAATAAAGACATGTGTGAAACCTTTAGAAAAGTAGACCGAGATAACAGGAAACACTGTATACTGTTATCTATTTCTATGTTATTTTCTCGCAGGTGAAATCTTATAGATATATGTTTGTCTCTTTTTAGTGTCGCTATTTTGTTTCATCGAGTTTCAAATGGAATTGAAAATGACGTCGCCTCTATTCACTTCTCGCTCGCACAATGTTGCTATCTATATTCACATTCGACGGTAAACACTGCAAGTAAAAATACGTTGCGATATGCGTTTTTGTACGCTCTATAACTTGAGTCTATTTTGGAGTAAATGGTAACAAAATGCCATAAACTACAAAAAAACGTTGTCCTTCATAATTTTCATTGATTTTGTTTGTTAATATTTCGAGTATAAAATATTTACATGTTATTAAGAAATGAGTCCATTTTTAAAATTTTCGTTTGTCTGTCTGTCCGAGCTAATCTTTGGAATGGCTGAACCGATTGTAATAAAACTTAACGACTATTTTTTCGTAATACCAGTAGTGATCTAGACTAAATTTTATCCGAAAAATCTGCAGACTTTATTAAAAGAGAAATATTGATAAGATAAAATAAATGGTCAAAAATCTTAAGTCTAAATAAAGCCTCGTTAATGGATCCCATCCAGGCGAAGCCAGAGCGGGTCGCTAGTTATAAATGTTATTTTAAAATTAATGTACCTACTTGCGTTTACAATTCTTTTCCAATATTTTACCATTAATAGAAATTTTCCAATTAACCGAATAATAAAAACATCTTTCTTATTAGCGATATCAATATTAACATTATAGAAGGCAATGAGGATAAACATAGTGAACCATATTTAAATCTAGCTGCTGGATTGGGTCTCTTGCCTGGTCACACTTACCCCACACGCATAAAAAATTGCTTAGATCATCTAATGACCAAAACGATATTGAACACCAAAATAATAGTCATGGATAGTACTATCACAGACCACGCCTTAATTCTTACCCATCTATCTTTAGATTCCAAACGTAAGCCTGATAATATTTTCATTGATAAAATTAACTATAAAAACGCCATAAAATCAGTTGAAGCAGTAGATTTTTCATTCATATCTCCTACTTGTAATGCAGACATAGCAGCTCATGAATTCGTCAACATATTATCATCGGCTGTAAAAAATAACACAACAAAAATTAAGCTACCTAGATCTAGACGTACTCTTAAAGCATGGATGACGCCTGGCTTGATCAAATGCATCCGCCACCGTGATAAACTACACCAAAATCTTAAAAAAAAACCCTGATAATGAGATACTTGAAATTTCTTACAAACGGTACAGGAATTTTTGTAATTCATTGTTAGGAAAACTCAGGCGCCAACATGAAACACATCTTTTAAAGAGTGCCAAAAGCAGTAAAGAAACTTGGTCTGTCATTAAATCTATCTCAGGACGTAATAATATAAATAATTACGCTGATAATCTAATTAGGGAAAATCCTACGGTTTCAGTTGAGAGAGCGAATCATTATTTTTCTAATCTAGGTAAAAAATTAGCAGATAAAATAATTGAAAATCGTGGTCAACGTACAGTTACAAGTTCGACCCACAGATCTCTTAACTCATTTGTGCTCTATCCACCTGACGAGACGGAGGTAGAATCTACTTTGTTAAGTCTTAAAAATGATTGTGCTGTTGGGTGGGATTCTATCTCTGCCGTTTTTCTTAAAATGATAAAAGATATAATTATATTACCGCTTACCAATCTCTTTAAAATTTGTTTTGAACAAGGATGCTTTCCAAAGGTGTTCAAAAGGTCTCTCATTACTCCTGTATACAAGAGTGGAGCTCGAGACAGTATCGAAAACTACAGACCTATCTCTGTGCTGCCAGCTCTTTCGAAAATATTGGAAAGGCTGTTGAATAACCGTTTGGTTAAATTCCTGACCAAATACAATATTCTATCAAGCACGCAATTCGGTTTTAGAACGGGTAATAGCACAGAAGATGCGGTAAAAGGCTTGACAGAATTTGTAACCAATAAGTTGGACAAACAAAAAAAATGTTTGGGTGTTTTTCTTGATTTAGCAAAGGCTTTCGACACCGTCTCGATTCCCATTCTTGTACACAAATTGGAAAATATCGGTATTAGAAATTCGGCCCTTTCTATTTTTAAAAGCTTCTTAAGTCACCGAGTACAGAGAGTTAAGATTAAAAATTTCATTAGTTCTGATACTAGTGTCACTTTTGGTGTCCCTCAAGGAAGTATCCTAGGGCCAAGTCTCTTTTTAATTTATATTAATGACTTTTGTCGTATGCCATTAATACATGGCAAATTATTCACTTATGCCGATGATACGGCTATAATATTTTATGGAGAGACTTGGGCTGACGTTCAGGTGATTGCTGAAAGGGGTCTCCAATGTGTGGGACAATGGCTTGAGGACAATTTACTAACACTAAACGTATCTAAATCAACGTACTTACAGTTCCGTATTACCAATACTCCAGCTGTTGAGGATATTGAACTGAAAGTACATTTTTGTGATCTAAAGTCAACAGACAAATGCTCTTGCCTTAATATAACTAGATGTAAAACTGTAAAATACCTCGGAGTGTTGTTAGACGAAAAACTTAGCTGGCTCCCACACATTGATCTTATTTCATCCCGGACTCGTATACTTATTTGGACATTTAAAAAGCTAAGACACATTGCTGATTTTGATTTATTGCGCACAGTATACTTTACTTTAGCACAATCAATTATAGGCTATTGCATAAGTGTCTGGGGAGGATCGTGCAAAAGTTTTTTAATTAAGCTCGAAAGAGCTCAAAGATGTTTACTAAAAACTATGACTTTCAAACCTTATAGGTACTCAACAAAATTATTATACAGCGAATGCAAGTTGCTGTCTGTCAGGCAATTATACGTTCAAAATTTGATCACCAAGCAACACGATCGCACTCCCTACGACCCTGAGATCTGTCGTAATAAACGTAGAATACCCAACGTACTGGCACCGTTTAGATGCCGCACTGTTTTTGCTAGACGACAAAGCGCATATCTCTCTATAGTACTCTATAACAAACTTAACAAAATTCTAAATTTCTATCCTCTTTCAAAACACGAGTGTAAAATTAGAGTTCGTGATTGGTTGTTGTCATTAGATTACAATAAAACAGGAAATTTATTAATTTAATTTGATTTAATTTAATTTATTAATTTAATTTATAGTTTCAAAATAAATAAATAAACAAAAACAGGGAAGTGATTAATGTGTGGACAATTAATATTAACGTTTCGTTTATGTTTATGCATAATTTATATATGAACTTTAATAATTATATATGTATATATATATATATATATATATATATATATATATATATTTGATAATTATATAAGTATATATACACATATATATGTGTGTGCTCGTCTTGTATATATATATATATTAAATATATGTATAGTATAGATGTTTAGTATTAAATATAACACATATAGAATACTTTATTATATTACAACTTTTATTATTTTTTGATTTAATTTTGTAAATTTGTTAAATTTGTAAAGTTGTTTACTTTTCTTTTGTTTCAACAATGAAAACATGCATAGTTCTTTTAGTATTACCCGTTCTTTTAGTACAACTCTGGGAGAGGCCGCTGATTCCTAAGATACTGACTCGTCTAGTTTAGGAGTCAGAGACTTTATAAAATTTCTTGTGATTTATTTTTGACAATAAAAGAATTATTATTATTATTATTATTATTACGTTATAACAATATGCCATTATTAGCGGGTTTTTGCTTTAGGGTACTGTACATGTTGACGGTACGGGCTCGATGAGTCTAATCTCATTCTTTATCTGTACGGACTGTATATTATGTAATTTAAAAGAGTTTTAGCGGGAACTTAACCGGCGACGGATTGTTGCTCCTGTATTATTGTTTAAATAATGGTTTGAAGTGGATTTTAATATGTAAAAGTAGTATAATTTTGTGTATTAAGTGTCTGTGCATGTGAACTATTAGTGGAAACGGTGAAACAAGTGCTCTGATGGTGATGTGATTCTCAAGATAAGGTGTCTGTCTGCTTAGACGCCTTGAGATACCATCGCCAAGCGTCAGCGTCAGCTGTCTGCTGGTTCAAGTTGTCGTCAAAATTTCCCAAGGTCTGCACAATGTGACGCATCGACATATTGTGAAGCAGTGTACTATGAAGGATAATTATACAATGTAACTTCAGGCTCACAAAGGCTAGAACCCAGAGACGTAAAGCCAGTTATTAAAAAATGTAATTTAAAATTGTTAATTAAAAATATAGCTTTGCAAAGTGAAATGGACTTTAAACAGTTGATAATAAGGTGTATATTTGCGTAAAGGTTTCGGCGTGGCGGCGTGCGTGCACGCGGCGCGGCCGGATGTGCGGTGCGTGGTGCACGTGCGGTCGGCGGGCGCGCTCGCCGTGTCCGCTACGCGTCGCGGCCTGCTGCCGCTGTGCGCCGAGGCCGCGCTGCTCGGCCCGCTTGCCTACCACGCCACGCCTTACGGTTGGTGCCGATAGTGCACGCACACGCACGAGCACGTACATACACACACACACACACACACACCACAAACACACCGCGCCTAGTACACAGTGTAATCAATGAAGAGCCACACCCTATGGTCGGTAGCACGCACACCCAACTGTGGAATACACACTTCTTCACAAACCGCGCCTAGTACACGGTGGTCAACAAAGCGTCATGATAATGTTAGTAGTACACGCCCAAAAGTGGACAATGTCTCATTTACACCGCTTGACGTCACTGACACTCCTAATTGCAAACTCGCACACTCATTCCCTACTGTGGGCAACACACACCCCACAATACATATACAATCAGTCTAACACCGCAGATACTATTTACTCATAGGTATGAGCAACTATGGGCAATATATATATACCAGAAGCCATCCATATACGTCACTTGAGCCAATCGCCGTCAGAAGTTATAACAACATACTCAAACCCAGCTGTGAGTAACCAATACCTCATAGTTCAAATCGTAACGTTAACAACCATGCTAACAACACGCTCAAATTCACGTCCATTACTGGGCAACACCACGCACAGTACGAGCCGACTAACCAAGCCAGCACCATTCCTACTAACTTTCTGGATTAATATCTGAACAGCATTTATCACAATATTGCCCATTACCACAAGGGATCTTCCTTCTTCTATGAACCAAAAGACTACTCTAATTTACGGGTCGGCTCGAAGGGTCACGCTCTCATAGAATACCAGCTTGAAATAGCAGCTCATTGTTGCTGAACTTTTTTTCCTTTTGTATCCTGTTATTCTTCATTGTCAACCCATAAAAGTCCATATGAGTCTGACGTTGTAGACTGGATTTTCCTTAATTGCAGTACCAGACGTGAGCACATTTGACGCTGCTGCCCGCCACCGGTCTGTTAATTTGACGTCTGGCATTAAAGAGATGATGTACCACCAAACTATTAACATATTTGCTGTCCCGTGTACTGCATATAGTTCATTGCTATTGTGTCTGAAATTCGGACAGTTGGTGTTAAAATTCAAAAGTTTTTTTTTTGATATTTCCTGTAGTAGAATCTTATTAGGGGAGTCACAGGATGAAATTTTTTTTGAAGATTCTTTTTTACGCAGGTAGTAAATTAACCCTGTTTGTTATAACGATATTTCTCATAACTTTTTTTAACTTCACGTAAGCCCTGACATTTTGTCTCTGTCCGTCTGTTATATCTTAGGTTTCATTGTATATTTATATGGTAGGACTACGGTAATAATAGGGTCTTATACTTCTGCCATCCACTTGTGCCATAAGGTAGTTGACCTATTGGAGGGAAGTTGGGTTAATATATAAATAAATTGCTACCTAACTGTACAAGGGGTGTTAATGCATCTAAATTTTGATTCTTAATCAAGGGTAGATGTACAATTGAACAACGTAAATGGTCTTTAAGACTTTCTCACTTGACCTAAAGTAAATTTTGGTGTGCAGGCGAACTTGACAACGAGGAACGCGACAAGCTCGTGCGCGCGCTGGGCCCCAGCGCCAAGGTGCTGGTGCTTAGCGGCAACGGCGCGCTGTGCTGCGGCGCCACGCTGGAGGAGGCCTTCTTCCAGGCCAAGAACCTAGCCGCCGCCTGCGACGTGCAGCTGCGCCTCGCTTCCCAACCCCTGGAGGAGCTGCACCTGCTGGACGAGCACACCCGCCGCCAGGTACATGCTCATAGCCCTTGCATTCGCTAAGCTAACGCCACCTGATCCGTGGACGAGGAAACTGTACAAGTCGTGAAATTTTATAGATTGAAGGAAAGAAAGAAATAACATATTTATTGATTCCTACAACAACTTGCAGAACAACTTTTACAAACAAAAAAAATATTTATTTAAAAAATGTATTGCAATTACAAAAAGGTCATTGTTTCTGCATAATGCTACTGTACTAGCTAACTTATTCTACGTTCCTATATTCTATGACTTTGTAATGTTAAGTCTATATTAATATTAAATCTATAAAACAAATAAAAAGCGGCCAAGTGCGAGTCGGACTCGCCCATGAACAGTTCCGTAGTAGCATGTAACATAATTTACTACTTATGACATATTAAAAAAAACTACTTACAAGATCTCGTCCAAACCAATTTTCGGTGGAAGTTTACATGGTAATGTACATCATATATTTTTTTAGTTTTATCATTCTCTTATTTTAGAAGTTACGGGGGGGGGGGGGGGGACACATTTTACCACTTTGGAAGTGTCTCTCGCGCAAACTATTCAGTTTAGAAAAAAATTATATAAGAAACCTCAATATCATTTTTGAAGATCTATCCACAGATACCCCATACGTATGGGTTTAATGAAAAAACATTTTTTGAGTTTCAGTTCTAAGTATGGGGAACCCCCAAAATTTATTGTTTATTTTTATTTTTGTGTGAAAATCTTAATGCGATTCACAGAATACATCTACTTAACAAGTTTCAACAGCATAGCTCATATAGTTTCGGAAATAAGTGGCTGTGACATACGGACGGACAGACAGAAGTTCCGTTTTTTGCCATTTGGCTACGGAACCCTAAAAATACTCTGAGGTTCGAAAACCTCGAGAATCCATTACCTATATATACTATTTGCCTATAAGTATGGTAATGTATTAAGGGTTTTATATCTTATGAATGAATGAACGAATTAATTAAATGAAATGGATGAAATATACTTTATTGTATACCGATAAATAAAAGGAAAAAATATACAAATTATGAAAAAGGTACATTTGGCAGTGTTGTCGCTAACAAGCGATCGCTACCAGGCATCCATAAGCTAAAAATGGTGCGGGTTGTAGGCAAGGTATCGTAACGTATGGTGGTGTTGCAGATCTACGAGGCGTCGCGCAAGCCGCCGGCCGAGGCGGGCAAGTGGCGCGTGGGCGGCGAGGAGTTCGAGGCGCTCATGCGCATGCTGGACAACGCCGGCTTCCGCACCGGCTACATCTACCGCCATCCGCTCGTCAAGGTCACTCACTCACAACCTTTGCGTTACATTATAATATCACTGTCGAAATATGATACGAATAGATGCTTCGCAGTGTAATAAATTTCTACAAAGTGACTCCTGAATCTTTTTCTATTTTTATTACTTATATTTACGCAAATAATACACATGGAATCAATCTAATTTGACAGCTTTTATCGAGTTTAATTTTAACTTTTTAAATCCCGCCGTTTCGGACATTTTAAAGAACACATAGACACATGGTGGAGTGGGTATAACTAATTTCTGGAAAGTAACGCTAGACTCTATTTACAATAATATTAATATTTCTCAAAGTATCCGACTCTAAGGACCAAATATTCCATAGAACCCACAAAGAAAATATACTACACCATACGAAATCTTAGACAAAAAGGATACCTACCACCTTAGTACTGCTTACAATAAAATTTTATACTTAAGCCAAAATTGTCTGTCTACAGAACGATGTGCCCAGACCCAAGAACGATGTTGAAGTACCACCAGCAGTGTCATCTCTTGGATATCTTCTAGAAGAAGAAGAACTCTACAGGCAAGGGTAAGTGTTCGTTATTGATAACAATTGCCATAGTAAGGCAATCTCGGCCTTACAAAAACGAAAAAAATGCTTAAAGTTGCTCTGTCTCTATTTATTAAATGACAATGGAAAACGACAGGTATAGAGACAGTTAATATTTTAATTTAAGTAAGCTATAATCATCGATGACAAATAAGGCCATAATTCTTTTTATATTCTGTACGAGTCGTAAAAGAAAGGTGACATGGGTCACCTTTCTTTTACGATTCGTGTTGAGGCTTATGTATACCTTCAAGCAACTTAAAACAAAGAAGGCCTAAAAGAATAGAATGCATTTTCCCTTCTTAGTCGGTGGGTACGTATCATAGACATAGAGAGAATGGACTGAGCGTTAGCTTCACAAAAGTGACCATTCTCTAGGAAGAGACAAAGTGACTGTGCCTGTCTCTTTCCTGCAAGCCATCTATTTCCGCGCAGAACGATACATTTAGAATGTATAGAGAGCCAGTATAATTACATTCTGTGAAGCATTTCATGTTAGTCGTCAGAGGTGACATCTTTATTTTAACATAATGTTTTTAAATTGACTGTAGGTGTCTATGGATTAAAATAGCCACTTACCATCAAGTGGACTGTAAGTACGTTTGTCACTTAATTATATATAAAAAGGTTGAATTGAATTTCATTGTTAAAACTATTTTTCTACCCCCTTAGGTACTGGAAGAAAGGACAAGGCAAAACCGGTGAACGCACCCGTTGGCTGAACTCGCCCAACGTCTACCAGAAGGTGGAAGTCCTCGAGACCGGTACTAACGATCCGAAGAAGATCACCAAGGTAGAATACCTGCGTGTTGAGGCCGAGTAGATCGGTCTACTGGCTTGACAGTCTATTGGGGAGAAGTTGAAGCGGGCATATAGAGGCAGACTTTGTATATTGACTGAATTTTAATTTAGATATATATTTAACAAAAAAAAAACAACAAACGAGATAATTTTTCAAATTTTGATCAAAGCAACAAAAATCAGTCCATGTATGAAGTCTTTAATAATAGTTGTATGGGTTTTAGAAGAGTAAGCTAAAAGTCGTGAAATGCTTCTCTTATAGCTTGTTTTATGTCTGTATCTGTATTTTCTTCTTATATAACATCTATAGAATGACGTGGAATGGAAATGCTCAATTAATCTAAACAATTCTAACTTTCTAATAAAGTGACAAAGTTTTGAGCCAATGTTAAAAGTTTCAAATTCAAAATACACTATGTAGTAATTTATTAATGATGGCGATGCTATGTTTTTCACTTATTATGAAGTTTTTAAAAGCAAAGAAACCGACTGCAGCGATCTATTCATGTGTGCTTGAGTGTCCGCCATATTCATTATACTGACGTCATTTATTGTATGTTAGCCGCGCAATTATAATAAATTTTGGGATACAGACTGTCTAGAAGCTACCTAAACCAAGTATATCCGGCTCGAAGGACCATCACTAACACGACTTTTACCTTCACATACGAAACTATCCAGTTACAATGCTTAGACTTCCTTTTAGATTTAAGGCTTTGGAAATATAATATGTTATATGTTGGTACAAGAGATATAGTATTAAATTTAATTCCATATTCTAAGACGTAGGAAAAGTTGCATTTTATTAACCACATTTAACTGAAGTAGTTGCGTTGAAGTTTTACTTTACAACATCTAAAAAAAACCCTGTGGTTTCCGATACGGCAGGGACAGAACTTCTGGTCCTTGCCTCATATGTTACCGAACGGTTGCGTGATTGCATAAATTTACATGGTACCGCTAAAGTACACCCTTCCTAACAAAAAAGAAGCGACGGCAGCCTAATGGGAGGCTCACAATGGTGACGTATATCGGTGAATTTTAACCGCTTTCGGTCCACCTTTAAAAAATAGCGATATCAATATTTTATACCGGTAGCGTAACCTCGTACCTTAACCGCAATCAAGGCCTGATTCAGAGAGCTATTTAATAGAACCATATCGCAAATTTCACAATAAGGTCAAACCATTGTTGAATATAGTATTTAATATAGTATTTATAAGTCACTAAAAGTGTAATTCTGACTCCAGTAACTGCCTCAGTTTAATGTCAAATGATTTACTTTAAATCTTTTATTCTAAGCTCACTTTTAAATCACAGGTTTTAGTCAACCTTTTTAATTTTAAGACTAACTTTGTTACATTCCATTTTTAGTGGGAGTTTTTTTTTAAATAATTTTATTAATCTTTTGGTTAGTCGCTTCAGTAATTGTGGTTTTTTTTTATCTCTAAATACTTATTTTTCGTGGGTCATGGGTTAGCGTTTCTTTCGGTTGTTATTGTTTTAATATACTTCCTGGGTTGTCATTTTTTTCTTTATTTCATTTCGCTACAGTTTTTTTTTAAACATTCATTATTATTTTTAAATGTAAACAGTTTTTATTAAATTATAAATGTACTAAGCCATATTTGAGATATAAAGTATATTATGTTGATATTACTAAAGGATTTTTAATTATATGGAAATGCGATTAGGACTGATGTGGCGCTCAAATATTTTTCTGTTTATTTTTATTTTAAATTAAAATCATCGAAATTCATCGTAGTAATAGAGATAATATTTATGTATATTTGCATTTTAAGAATTGTATAATTGAGATTATAGTTTAGTTGAAAGCAAAAACTTTTTTTAATTAGTTCCTATTACGTTTATTTCAATTTCGGAAATGAGCTTTTGAAAAAGTTTTTGCTCGCACTAATATATTAGCTTATATAGAGAACTGCTTTTAAAATTTTATGTCTACAGAACATATTAAATATTAAAAACCAATTAAAAAAAAATTAACCAATCTATCTTTCAAACAACTCTAAATGAAATGCTTTTGAAATAACACACTAATCGATTTTTTTTTTTGTTAAATGAGTGTTGTTTTTTATCTGTGACTAATATAATAATGTTTTGCAGTGGGTGGACGCTAACAACGAAGAGGTAAATAATATTTTGGTTCGAAAACATCTCAAGTCTTCTTTAAATTATTTATTTTATAATAAATTGTCCTTTTATCTGCACGTGTACTAATGAAGACACTCGCGACACGAGTAGTCAGCACAATCTTGACGTAGGCAGTAATCGATTTGAAGTAAGTCCAGTATATCAAGCCACATAATACCACTTACAGTGTTAGAGCTACGCTGCAGTTAAATTATGATTACAGCACGAATGAGTCGGCTCGACCGGGGAAGGACCGCGCTCTCACAAAACACCGAGATGAAATAGCAGCTTAATGTTGATGTGTTGCATGTGGTGAGTGTAGAGAACCGGAGACCCTTTTTACTGGGAACGAGGCATTCCATCTCAGTACTAAGGTGTTACAAGGCATCTGCAGCTTGATTCTTAATAGGTGATTGATTTAGGTGTCTATGGTCCACAACATCCATTTACCATAAGGTGAACAGTGTGCTCGTTTGTCACCCTTATTCTGTATTAAAAAGTTTAAATGTAGTGGGAATTCAAAAAGACATCTATCTATAAAAAATAGTATAACGAGTCATTTTGATTGTTTATTTGCTCAGAAATGTTTGAAGAACATTCCACCTTCAGTGAGTTGTGTCAGCTCGACTCGAGGCAGATATTTTTGAATCACGTTATTCGACTTATTAAACTCGAAACGACACATAACTCGCGACGCTAATATACTCTATGCTCTATAATGGACATCTTTACTGACTAGTATCCACCAAGTTGGTAAAAATCGTAATCAAGAGGCAGAGAGAAATTAAGCATGAGGTGGGGAGCCAACCCACCTGTCAAGCGTGGCAACTGTAGCACATATCCCCTCTATGGGGTAGTAGGCTATAATCACGATGAATAATTTTAAGTGCTGATTTACCACATGCTCGGCGGTCAAGGAAAACATCGTGAGAAAACCAGCATGCCTGAGAAATGAAAACAAATTCGAAGACGAAATGACCAAAAACCTTCTTAAAATGGAAGGCGGCCTGTGGGAATAACTATAGGCTGTACTACTAATGTGTTCCCAACGTGTTTGTGTCAAATCGTTGAAGCAACAGTTTTAATAAAGACTCATAGATATCGCTGTGAAAACTGTTAGAACAAATCATATCGCTTACAGGAGGCTTTCATTAGTATACCCTTAGAATATATTTTATCTATTTCTTTTCTCTTCTCTTCTTTACGCTATTTCTTCCTCTTTTTAGTTCTGCTATCATTCGGGACTTTCATCTGTCGGTATGTCTAGGTACACATTTATGATTGTATGGAATGTATGAAAATGTATGTGTGGATCAGATTGCGTGATTCTTGCTACTTTCGGTAAACGACGGTCCGCACTTCTTCGGTCTACGGTGTTGTCAACTTAATAATGCTATTTTAACAGATTAATAATTAATTAATATTTTTTTAAATCGACAATTTCTTTAATATTTCAAGGGCATTTCATTAATCCTACCCTGGTACTATGTATGAATAAAATTATTAAGAAAATAATTTCATTCAACATCAAATACATCGAGTCTGTACAGTGTAGGGCAGAGAAAAATAATAAAAATAAAAATAAATCATAAATTAGATAAAAATGTTGCCATCATAACGGAAAGTTTCTCCCTGCACAACCAATTCCCGCAGATTTACCAAGTCATTACTCCTTCCTATATTTTTTCTTTATTTTCTTAAAAGAATGTTTATTTTTTTTACTTGCAAGTCTACGCTTTTAAAGAGCTTTGCATGGAATGATTATGTAATAATTGCCATAATATCAATATTGAAAAAAGAATCTGTACACGCTCGATGAGTTTGCCAGGATGAAATTCGATCAGCTGTTTGATTTCTCTTTTATTTTCGCATAGCACATATAACTTTCCTTATTTATAAATGCCACTACCACTTACTTCACCATACTGACCCTTTTATTAACCTGACCTTGTTTCGAAATATTACAACGCTGGCAACATTTTTACTAATTTATTATTATTTTCTCTTCCCTACGCTGAAAAACGTCGTTCCTGCAAAACGTACGGTCACTCTGTCTTGTGACTTTGGAAATTGGACCTTAATACGTGGGACAGTGGGTTCAGGATGGATCACCGGCTCACACTAGTACTCCTGTCAAGATCGATACACTACAATTTGTGCCTAAGAACACGAACCCCAAGGAATTTAAACAGCTACAGCAACAGGTATGTTTTCTTCATTATTTTATGTAAAGTTGAAATTAAAGCTGAGGCGTTGCATAATACTCCAATACATAGCACTGGTGCAAAAAAGACCAACGTGTGGCCACTAAATTACCAACCCAAATCCAAGGGAAACTAGCTCTTAATATGGTGCTATTAAGATTTAATATATAATTATGGCGCTGCTAAACACAACATACACTATCTTACCCTACAGATAAGGAAGCCTCTCTCTTATAAATATTCATTCAATCATTCCATGCAGGCTTTCAAAGTTCACTGCTGTACATAAACCTCCCGGCACGTTTGTCATAGCTCCCACGCTGGGCAGGCGGGTTGGCAACTGTAGTTTTTTTGACATTCTTGTTGTTATTTGAGACAAACCAAATTTTGCTCACGGCGAAAGCGCAGGACAGGATTATAGTGCCCGAGTGTATGTGCAAGCACAGGTGCACTCTCTATTCCCTCACTCTCATAGTCCGACGTTAAACCGACACTACCGGATAAAACTATATAATAGACTTTTCAGAAATATGTTTTACTTAATTTGGTCGTAATATGTGATGGTAAGCTGATTTTTTTTTCAAAAATAAGTCCCGCTGTTTTTCTTGCTGGTTTTTCCCAGGACAGAGGTTTTTTTAGAACCAATGGTTAATTAAACAAAAAGAGTGACTTTCAATAAGTATTATTTATTATCTATATTGAATAAAAGAGTTTCTGTTTCTGTTAATAATTATAATATATAAATAAATATAGTCTGTATAAAGAATAGAGCGTAAATAGTTTTATACAATCGAATACAACCTTTTTATCATGTATGTCGGCTGTGTTTAGATCAAGGAGAACCGGCGCGCCGACAAGATTAGCGCTGGGCCACAATCCCACATCCTGGAGGGCGTCACTTGGGACGAGGCCACCAGATACGTGGGCGAGGACGCCGCCAACACGCACACCGGCGACCATGTCGTGAGTATCCCATTTTTAGCCTTTCTTTCCCCTACCCCTCTTTTCACTTTTTTTTTTTCATTTAAGATCCATTGAATTTAATGTATTATTTAAGTATGTAATTTCTAAATTTATTTATCTATTCACAAGCATCGTAACAGTTAACAGAAGTATTCATCCAAAACGCTTATAAGATTAGATTAAATACATGCAAACATTATTAATAACCAAGTTGAATTTAAATTACATTATTTATGTCAATTGGTTGAATCAAATAAGAAGATTATTTAAATGTCACTTCTAGATCTAATAAAACATAAATCCAGAATTCTGAATAAGTAAACTAACGGTGACGGTGTTCAGTAAAAATTGACAGTTAAAACCACAGTATAATAAACATAAAGTAGGACGACGCCTTTGATCTCGTGGTAAATGCCGACAACGTCTAGACAGCATATGGAGGTTAGGGTTGTCACAAATTAACAACTTTTACTAATTTAATTATTTGTTTTAGATCTACATCGTCATCAACAGTATGATTACTAATATAAAAAATAAGTAACAATTTGTTTTTAGATATTTCCTGAAAGTACTCAAAACGTTAATTGCACGCCTCACAAAGTAAGGGAGTGCTCTACTCACGATATGTAGCCATACCTCAAATTCGCTACATAAAATCGTTCTTACACTCTTAGCTAGACATCAAATATATATTATTATTAACGTTACAATGACTACAGACATTGAATTATTAGTTTATTTTATAATTGATTCTTTAGAATTTCGAAAGTTCTTCCAACTAAATCAGATCTTCCAATAACTTCCATCCATAATTTGCATCTGAAAGTTTTAAATACAAGACTTATTAATAAATTTTCGTAATTATCACCCCTAGAAACCTTAAAATTGATATCCATATTTTATTATTAAAAAAAAATCCACCATCTTGGATATGAAAATTGATGCCATTTTCGTAATTGGCACCCCCAGAAACCTCGAAATTGACATCCATAACATTAAAAAAATAATATCCACCATCTTGAATTTAAAAATGAATACCATTTTCGTGATCAGCACCCCAAGAAACCTCGAAATCGATAGGTACCCATATCATATTATTAAAAAAATGTCCGCCATCTTGGATCTAAAAATGGAGGCCATTTTCGTATTCATCGCCCCAATAAACCTTGAAATTGTCATCTATACCATACATATATTAAAAAATGTCCGCTATCTTGGATTTAAAAATAAATGCTATTTTCATAATTAGCACCCCGACAAACCTAAAAATTGACGCCTAAATCTTAAAATATTTTATTAAAAACTTCGAAAGACCGAAGACGAGGCACTATAATATATTACCTTAGCCTGTCCAACCACATGATTTAGATGAAGAAAAAAAATTAAACTTCGAAACAGTAATGCCCAGCGACTAGTACCTATTTTTACGTCCGCCATTTTTTTACGTTGGCAATTTGGCATGACATGACAAAATATACATAATGTAAAAATAATAACAATATTTCTTTACCTTTCTTTCGTGATTTGGTGAAATCGCAGATCTTTATTTATGCGAGATGACGACTTGCAATCTCTCACAGCACACGTCGTATGAACCATTTTAATTATAAGTATCAACACTAAATTTAAAAATTATAAAAGCAAACGCGCGTTAACCCTGGATCGTGTACCGAGTTACTAATACGATTGGCATGAGCAGATCGGGCTCGTCCTTCCTGCGTCTCACCCCTCACACCCCGCACGATTGCCCTGTCTAGACGTCTTCGTCGGATGACTGTATGGATTTATAGACTGTGGTTAAAACTGATTCTAATGTGTGACCGCTATAAGCCTATAAGTTTTTAACGCTACCCCCACTAGGATTTTCTCCTGTCTCGTGGAGGCACTTTGTGGGATTCGAACTCGCGGCCCGTAGTCCCCAACTGATTGCTAAGCATTTACGCCACCATTTACCGTCAAATCGGACTACTACTGAACATAAGATTTGTCATGTTATTAAAAGTAAGATTGATAAAAGTACGCTTAATAAAAAAAATATAAGTTAAAAAAACAGAGGCATTCATATGGACTGCCGACAGAAGTGAAAACTCAATGATATATGAGTATAAAAGTACACATACCGCTATAACGACGCGACGCGTAGTAGACATGTTCGTGACGTCACGAGCATGTCGAGGTTATCGGTGACGCGAACCTATAAGATTTTCTCCTACCAAAAATTGCTCACTTTCTCACTGCTCAATTCACTTCAAATAGCGTTATTGTAATTTGTTTCTTTTTCTTTCTCATTTTTATCTTTGTACTTACATTTTTATGTATTTTACCAACTTTACAATAGGATGAATGTATGAACACGCCTGACGGCCACGCATTACTGGTTCGGTGGATAGGACTCCGAGTAAAGAATGCCTTGATTTTTTTGTTTACATGTCTCTATAAAGGTATATTTACTCTCGGAGCTGTATGCTCCTAGATTTTATTGTTGGTTATTACTGAAAATTTGTGTTCGACCGTTCAATTTTGGCGCTTGCTAGAAAACTTCGGACCCATTTCGACCGAAATCGCAGGTTTCGCTGAAGGCGGTTTATTTTAAACGAAGGTGGCCGAAGCCGAAGTCGAAGCTTCGGTCGTACTCAACTGTAAACCAACATCACACCTCATGCTGTATAATTACCGTTTTTGGTACACCTTCGATATACAAAGCCAAATTTATTTAATTTCGTTTTTTGTCATACATTCGTATACTGTTGTATACGTCCATTTGTCTGTGCCACATTCAAATGTTTGTTTGTTTCCAGGTGCTGATGGGCGCGGCTTCGAAGGGCATCATCCAGCGCGGCTACCAGCACAACGCCACGGTGTACAGCGCGCCGTACGCGCGCAACCCGTTCGACCACGTGACCGACCGCGAGATAGACGAGTACAAGCGCACCGTCGAGAGGAAGCAGCGCGGCAACGACTGTCAGTGCCCCTACCCTCTTGTTGCCTCTAATTTTTATTTTATATATGACTAGCTGTTCCTCGCGACCTCGCCCGAGTGTAGTTTAGGGTTTTAATTATGTTGCGCGGAACCCTAACTCTTTTTCTAAAATATAAGTAGCCTAAGTTACTCCTTATAACATGCCAGTGAAAGTCCCGTCGAAATCGGTCTAGCCGTTTCTGGGATTAGCCGGATCAAACAGACAGACAAAAACTTTAAAATTTGTATTTTTGTCATAAGTACCTTATATACTTTCATATGAATTTAGTAAAAAAAATATATTTTGACATTACAAACAGATACTTCAATTTTATTTATTTGTATAGTAAGGGCGACAAACGAGCACACAGTCCACCTGATGGTAAGTGATTACTGTGACCCATAGGCATTTACATTTATTACATTAGACTACTACATTAGACTTTTGTTGCCCCATCTCTAGGTTTCCGTCTGTTGCCTTAAAGGTCGTAAACGACACTTACGGGATGATATGGGAATATCTATGAGTAGGCCTATGGTTCGTCTATGTTCTGCAATTGCAGAACATAGACGAACGAATAGAACATATTTTCATTCAATACAGCGTATCTAAATGATATGCGGTATTGAATGAAAAAAGAAAGCCACTACCATTAAAGAGTACATATATTGATAATAACCCCCGAAAATGAGTTCATTGCTACCATGCTGTTTCTAAATTCTTAATCATATGAAATACTAGCTGATACCTGCGACTTAGTCCTCGTTGTTTGATATATTAGCCCGACTTCTCCGCGGCAGAAAACACACATCACTGAACACGTAGTACTTATAAAAATCATGGTTTCTTAAAACTTTAATGCCTTTATATTAAATGAAGATATCGTTATTTTTTTTTAGATAAGGACAAATGTCTAAGAAATAAAACTTATAAAACCTAATTAAAATCTATCCAATTCCAGTAGTTTTTCCGTGATGCGCGCACAACTGCAAACTGCTATCATTTTATTTATATAGATTATATTGTTAATTTATATTTAAAGAGTCCCGCTGGGTTTCTTGTTGGTTCTTTCCAAGACAGGTTTTTTCGAACTATTGGTAAAAGTAAAAAATTTATTTCAATATGTATTCATGTAATCTATATTGAATAAAAATGATTCTATTCTATTGTATTACCTCTTACTGTACCAAATAGCAATGCTTTGAGCTACTGCGTTCCGGTCTTGAGGGTAAAAGCCAGTATAATAACAGGCTTTGAGACATTTGTTCTCAGTTTTCATTAGTGACAAAGCAACTATAGCCACTTACCATCAGGTGGACTGTGAGTTCGTTTTTCACCTCAGTTTTATTTAAAAAATAACTTTTTGTGTACAGACGACACGGATCTGTCAGAGTCGGAGGCGGTCAGCGGCGCACAAGTGACTTCACCCGCCAGCGCGCCCTCCGAGACCGAAGAGGAGTCACGTGACGGTAACTAGCACGCACACACACGCGTACGTAAGTGCACGCACACGTACGTACGGGCACGTGCGTGCACGTACTTGAGTGTGTGCGTGTGTGTGTTATTATAAAGGCAGTGTGTGCACACAGAATTTATAATAGTAATCTATATATTGATACGTGAAAGGAAAACTGTACACCTTTTTATGCATATTGCGCGCACGAAGGAATGTGAGATTTGGCAGTTATAGTTTTTATGGACGAATGCAGAAAACAATAATTTATAAATGGTATGTGTTACAAACACATTATAGTTATTAACTTCATGCCATAAAAATACTGATATTAATGAAAAGTCATGTACTTATTACCAAAACTTCAGACTGGTTGAATGATCGTAATCAATTTTTCTAAAACTGAAATATTAACTTTTCATCCCCATCAAAAAACTGCATTAAATTCAAAATTCGATTACGATGGCACAATTTTAGAATTTGTGAAATAATTTAAATGATTTGGTATAGATATAGACACACACTTGAATTGGAAAGCGCTTGTCCATAGAGTGAGGTCTAAACTTTCGAGCTTCTCATATGCATTACACGAAATAAAATAAAAACTACCAACATAGAAACGGCAATAAAAACCTGCTATGCATATGCGCACACTTGGCTGAGTTAACACATCATTCTGTGGCATTAAACAGCACGAATGTAGCCACTCTATTCACCCCTTCAAAAGAAATTAATCAGGATTTTAGCAAATATAGATCAGACTAATAGTTGCAGACCGTTCTTTCTTAAATTTAAAATATGAACCTTACTTAGCTTATATATATAGGAGATGTGTAAATGTGTTCCAAAAAATAAGTAATTTTATACGAAACGTGAAGTTTTACCATGCAATGCATGAATACCAACTTAAAATAGCAGCTTAACGCTGCTGTGTTTCGTATGGTTAGTGTAGAGAACCGGAAACCCCTTTTTACTGGAAACGAGGCATTCCATCTTAGTCCTCACAGGTGACAACGCATCTGCATTTTGATTTGTAATCGAGGATAGATGTAGATGTCTATGGACCACAGCAACCACTTACCATCAGGTGGACTGTGTGCTCGTTTGTCACCCTAGTCCTATATATATAATAAACTACCTGACATTAAAAAAATGAAAATAGTGACATCATATTTACAAAAAAATTAAAACAGTACCTAACTAATAAATGTTACTATAGGTTATACAAAATGATCACTCATTTAAATTAAATTCTATCTCAATAAACCACAATGACATTTTATAAGTAGTTAAATACGCTTCCTTTCTCCTAGCCCCTAAATTGCGTCCCCAACAGGGTCCATAACACTGGTCTCACATTATTTTATAACATCTTGTGTGCACTATGGTTTAGCAATAAGAGTTTGAGCTTAAATTAAATCAAAGAAAACATTTGTTGACGTTCACACTGTCAATATCTCAGAGTAAGTATAGGTTATTTGTGCTCGCTATAAATTGCACAGTAAGCGAGCAACCCGGGTACGATCCCCTACGACTCAAATGAAATTGTTAATTGCAATTTTAAGTGCTGATTTACCACGTACTCGGCGGTGAAGGAAAATATTATGAAGAATAAAAGTCTGAGAAATAAGATAAAAAAATATTTCGAAGACATGTGAAGTTCATGAACACGCATTGAGGCAGCGCGGCGGACACTTCGTTGCCTTATAACACTCATAAAAATGAGAGGAAACCTTTGGCCAGATCTAAAACGTATATAGGCTGTAACATTAAGTACTAGTTACAGGCTGTTACTTTCCCAAACGGACTTTAAAAGTTGGTATATTCCAGTATTTACTTTTCATCAGATATTGAAATCCAACATAGACACGATTTGATTTAAGGTATATTCTGATTTACACTGCGAGCACTGCTCAGTGCTTTCACGGGTAAAAAATTCGTTCCGTTATGGACTGCCAGTATACTGCCGCAGTAGCTTAAGGAAATATTGATTTTGTACCGTGAACACTGGCACTTACGCAAGGTGCTCTCATTACTTTGTGCTCTCAGTACTTTGTGCTCTCACGTGATCAAAAAACATAACAGCGCTCAGAGATTTAACAGCTTCGAATGATTGTTATTAATTAATAATGTTATTCAAATAAACTCGGACATTAAGTATTAAAAGCAACAACATTCAAATAATAATTTTTCTTTTTGTACAGAAAACGTATACATGATAAATATTTTCATTTGAAAACAGTGCCGACAAATTGGGATGACAGTATACTTGACTGCGTTCCATTTCAAACAGTAACCAGTATAGCAAACTAAAAAGGAACGGCTTCACAGTATACTGAATTGACGTCACGCTTTACAGTAGTCACAGTGTATATCAGAACATGCACATAAAGTACGAGAGGTGTTACCCATGGCTAATGCATCCATTAGCCATGGATAATGCATCCATATCATCATATGTTCGTATTTTCAGAGCACCGAGTGTTGCGGATAGAGACAAAGCAAGCACCGGTCCGCAGCCAGCCCGAGGTGGTGCTTAGCGATGGTGAGTGCCATTAGGACGTCATAACACCATTAAATATCTATCTACCTTATCTCTATATTTAGAGGTAGCTATCATCATTGCCCGTTAGTAACATTTTTATAGTTACGCTCAGGGTTGTTTTTTCTTAATTTTTCATTGAGCCGTAATATATTATAATGCCCGAGCAAACCGTACTTGATACCTGCCAGCACCAATGAAATTGTTAACCCCAAAATTATTTGATTTACTGCATTATAGTTGGTGAAGAAATGGAATATATTGATTGGAGTAGCCTCACCAAACTTATTTACAACTGGCTCTTCTGCGTGCTGATTTATATAAAAGTTTTTAGGTTCTAGTGTATGTACACAAAATAAGGCCTCAGTGTTGTATTTTTTCTACCGACTTCAAAATGGAGACGGTACTCAATACGATTGTAGGTGTTTTTTCTTTTTTCTTCTTTTTATGTGTGTTACCTCATAACTTATTTTTAGGTGAACCGATTTCGATGATTGTTGTTTTTTATTTGAAAGCTGGTGCTACTCCTCGTGTGGTCCCATATAATTTGGTCAACAGTTTTTGAGTTATTCTTAATAATTTTTATATCGAAGTCGGTTGTACAAAATTTTAAATTTTTAATTATCAATTTTTTTTGTACACATTTGTAACCTTTTGTTAATTCTTCTTTGTCTAGGAATATATCTATAGTTTGGTTTATAAAATATTACTAATATTTCAGAAAAAAAAAACATCAATAGCTATACAAATAAATGAAATTGAAGTATTTTTCTTTATAATGTCAAAATAACAGCTTTTTACTAAATGTGTATGAAAGTATATACGGTACTTATAACAAAAAAGGTATTTAAAAATTATTGTTTGTCTGTCTGCCTGTTTGTTCCGGCTAATCTCCGAATTGGCTGCACTGATTTTGACGGAACTTTCACTGGTAGACAGTTGATGTTATAAGAATGACTTAGGCTAAATTTATTGTAGAAGAGTTAGGGTTTCGCGCAAAAAAAAAAATCTTATGAAATTTTATCGTTATTATATAATGCGAGTATACATACAAATAATCAATAAACATATTATGTTTTCACATGCCCTTTCACCACCGAGCATGTGGCAAATCGTTACTTTTAACTTGTTAAATTGCAAGTAGCAATTTCATTGGTGCCTGATAGAAGTCCATAGATTCGATCCCCTAGCTAACATCACCCTTGTATTGAAATGTCATTAATACTTAGCATGAGTTGTTTTGAAAGTATTTTCAAAGATAGTCTTAGATTTTCTTGAGAAACTGCATAAGTCTGGGCATGTTTTGTTTAATGAAGCTCTTTAGAAATTCTTATACAATCTTTGACGAAAGCGGTGGAAAAAAGATATAATAATATAATAGAGAATATTTTTAATGGAATGCGAGTGAAAAATTGGCACACAGTCCACCTTATGATAACTGGATACTGACGCTCATAGACGCATACATCACCCTCTGAGGACTAAGTAGAATGCCTCGTTTCCGGTAAAAGGGTCTCCGGTTCTCTATAGTCGCCATACGAAACACAGCAGCATTAAGCTGCTATTTCACGCTGGTGTTCTGTGAGAGCGTGGTCCTTCACCGGTCGAGCCGATCCATTTATTTGTACTACAATCATAGTATAGCTGCAGCGTGGCTCTACCACGTGAAATATTATTGGTCGTTTAATTTCCTGTTCCGCTTTCGTCAAAGACGGTTAGCCCTATAGCGTGCAGAGTTAGAGGTCGCATGCTAAGTCCCGTTTCCTCTCCGTAGTGGACACGACCGACTTCCTGAAAGCAGAGCGGGAACACGCTGACCTCACTAGAGGTTAGTAGCAGCATTTGGATTTTTTATTTGCACGCTCTTTGCGACTGGATCTTATTTCACACTCTCTGGAATAATTTATTGGTTAGGGAAATTTAATTATTGTGCGTAAAACTTACGGTGTTGGTCCACAGATGATGCTTTTTTATAATTGATCAAACAAATATTTATATCAAGACCTATATGCTATATAAAATAACCTTTTTTTATTAAACTTAGTTCTTAACTACGATGTCACCTAATTCTCAACACACCAACAGACCGTACTGTTATATATAAATTACTAAAATTATTAAATTTTACCAGATTGTGTTGCCATAGGATCCAATGCATGGTTTTGTTGCACTTCTATATTTGCGTTTTGCATTAATTCTTGCGTATTGACGTTTGGCATCCCAAACCTTTGATTTATAAAAAACAACTAATTGTTTAGGATTTTTTAAAAATAACCACGAACGTGAAAATTTGCCTCCATTTTTGTTTCATTTTATTCGAAAATGTGAATTTGTGCCATCACTGTTTATTTATGGTAGCGACTGGTATTAAAGGAAAGTGGGTCAATTTCACATTCGTGGTTTTCGATGTCATACGATGCTAATATTGTTTACTGTACTAACAATTTTTAACAGATTTTGGGCTATTTTCAGTTAAGGCTTGTGTTTATTTATATATATATATATATATATATATATATATATATATATATATATATATATATATATATATATATATATATAATGAAAACACTCCCAATCGGTCTGTCACTACTGTGGTTTGTATTTCCATAATGTGAAAGAGTTTTTGGAATCCTCTAGAAATTTGTGGGTAGTCCCAGATTCCCTCTTGATTTCTAAACTTTTTATTTTGTATTATCGCTATAGAGTTATTTGATTTGAAAAAAAGGCTTCTTTTCTGCTAAAAATTGGCTCAATTCTCCCTATATCCTTCTAGCAGTTGATCTTTTTTAAGCGTAAGGAGAAAATAGAACTTAAAAAACAAATAGAAAATAATCGTAGTAGAAGAGTAGGGCATAGATATCGTTTCAAATTAATATTTTTTCCTTGACATTTTATCAAATTGATCTATCAAAAAAATTAGGCGAGAGTTCATAAATATTATGAAAGCGTGTCCCAATAGCGACTGTCGCTTGAGTATCCCAATTTATATATTACGCCGAACAGACTGTTCTCGGCCGCTTCAAGGTCATGGACGTTACAAATTCATTGATACTTGCCACGAGTAAAATAGAGGCTACATGATATATAGCATTTCGTTATTTTAAATCGCTATTACTAAACCATAAATAACTATGTCATAAGTTTCTACATATATATATTATAAGCAAGTTTCCTCAAATATGTCACCCGTTATAAATGTTGTAAATGTTTCTAAGTTATACTGTTAATTCCTTGGTATTTAGGATTTAGAGAAGGGTTCAACAAATATAGGTTTATTTGATCTCTTTCTATAGTTTTCCTTTGTATTATATTCTATTCTTCTCATGTATTCTATATAAAGAGGTGGAACGGGATCCGAACCTACTGTCTGATGATGAGGTATTCTTGGATTCGACCGCTTCTACTGGCACTTCGAGTGTGACCGCCGCGACACCATCTACCGTCGTTGTGCGGCAATATACGGCCGCGACACCCGTGTATGTCAGCCGAGGTGAGACTGCAAAGAGTGTGTTGGAGATACCTATCGTGGGAGTGGGGTCAGAAAGTCCATTTTATGGTAATTGTCTCGTCTTGTGGTGGTCCTCGCTATATAATGCTTCTGTGACTTTGGGTTGTAAAAGAGATAGCTTTAGGCATGGCTGTGGATAAGTTACACGAAGACGAAAATAGACTTATTTTAACCATTGATTATAGATGGAATTAGTTCTAGTTTAAAAGAAGTCGAATGGATGACATTTTCCCTATAGAGAGTCTTGTAGAGGTTGTCAAAGAATTATGTCTCAACCGTGAGACAGAATATTTAGAGACCATCTTTATACTGGCTGATAAAAAGAATCTTAACTTGGTGTTAAGCTTTCTTATAGAATACTTGAAAAGAGTAAAATGAATGCGTATGGTCAAGGCGTATGTAGAATTGTTGGCATATTTGCATATTTGTGATTGTCTTCGAAAAGTGTATTCGTGCATCTTTACCGTTTTGTTGTTTGGCGTCAAATATTTGTCGCTTTTTACTGGTATTTTATCAAATTTGACTTCGATATATAGTGACAAATTTCACGTAGGAAAATTTTCATATTATCATGTATTCCATTTCACACATTGTTTCTTCATTTTGTGTCGTTTAGCTTAAAAAGTGATTGTTTTTTCCAGTTACGGGTTATATGATAAGATATCTAACGATTTCGTAAAATCTTCCCCCTTAATAAACTGTAATAATGTAATTAGTGACAACGACGATATTAAAACCAAATAAATACAGACTTGAGATTCTGCGGTTTATTTTTCTATCAATTAATGGCATGTATGTATTTATGTTCCATTCATTATTTATATTTATATAACATCACAGCTTGTGCATTTGCACCTAACTAAAGCTTGTTCATTAATACAGGTAAATTAACAGCTGTGGACAAAATCCTTGACGAAGCCCTAACATCAAGCACACGCTCGAGGCATTGCTATTCACGCAACCCTAATTTTGACAATTATATTCATAAATTCGAAGCTATTGATATCAAAAAACACCCGAAATGCAAATTAAGTCTTAATTCTAAAATGATTGCTTCAAGTGATAATAAAGAATTAGTTCTACGTAAAGGTTATGATTTAGGCAGTCGTTCTAGTTTGAATTCTATACCGTCATTAGAATGGGATTGTAGACATAGAACGGAATATTTATTTCGAACCCAATCTCTTCCGCGACAGAGGGTTAGTTCATGCCACAAAATTTACAGGACGCGTTCGCACAGTGGATTCATCAATTCATTCATTAAGGATCCAGATCCCAATCACTATCATATTCCCAAATGCAGTTCGTGTGGTGAAAACACCTTGTCTTATAGGGAAATAAAGAGTAGTTTAAGATCCAAATCACATGGTTCGCTTTATTTCTCCTTTGATAATATCCATCAGAAATGTTTAGATGAACCTAAACCTAGCATAGTCAAAGTGACAGCAAATGTGCTACCAGTTTTTAAAGTAAACATAAACCCCAACGCGGAGTTTGTTGAGAGCCAAGAATTTACCGAGGATAATTATTTAGATGATATGAGTAACAGTTTATCAACAGAAAATCAAACCATTGTTGAAAACAAACAAATAGATAATTTAGTTCAGAAAGGCGAAATTGGAGGCCTTATTGAAAGTAATACTAAAAAAGATAAAGAAGAAAATAACACTTTTAGAACAGAAGAAGATACAGATATTCCAGATAAATGTGACAGCTCAATCAATTCGATTGAGGGAGAATACCACAGTTTTCATGAGGATATGGATTTCGAGGAAGCGGTTTACGATAGTCCTGTAAAGAAACTAATGCAAAAGGATATAAGGGATTATTCTGTACCGATCGATTTCTTTTGTTCAGATTATGGAAGAAAAGATTCTATTGTACAGATATCTCCAAGAAAATGTGACAATCAAAAAATAAATGTCCTTGAACCAATTTTGGAGGAGTCTAAAAGTTCAAATAGCGACGAATCAAATAATGTAACTTCGATAGAAAATATCAAAACTGAAAACAAATCACTGTCTGATGCATTAAATCAATGGAAAGAGGAAATATCAAATACTTCAAAAACCTTAGAACTTCATAGGATCAGAGACATGGAAACAGAAAAAATTAATAAAGAAAACTCAAATATTAGAAAAGAATTGAATCAAAATATTAATGACGAAAATGCAAAATTTGAAACTGTGTCTCATGATAAAAATTTAGATCACAAAGACCCGCAAGATTTTTTAAAAGAAAATCAAATCCAGGTTCTAACAGAAATTAATAATTCAAAGCAAGATGACGGAATAGTTTCTGCAACTAGTAAAGTAAGATTAAGCTACAACAGCCTTACTAGTACAGAAACAGGATTTAGTTTTGATTCTATTGATGAATTTGAGAAATTTGAAGTCGTATCAGAGGTTCTTGGAGTTATAATTAACCGAATTAACTTCGAAACCATGACATTATTTGACAATAATAGTGATGACAATATGTTGGTCGAAGACACAAATAATGAAGGAGAGGAAAGTAATGAAATATCGTGTGGTAATCAGAACGGGATAAAAAAAACTGCATTGCCAGAACAAAACCTTGAAAATTTTTCTATAGTACAGATTGTAAAAGAAATAGAGGGTAATGAAAGCCTCAATGCCACTGACACCACAGATGCTAGCGATTCGTCAAGTATCCAGAAAAATAAAATAGTTGAAGCAATCCTATACTATATTTTCAATACAGTGTTTTACATTGTGGCTTGTAAGAACAAACCTAAAATCAAACATTCTAAGCAAGTAGTAACTGTTATTGACAGCGAAGATATATTATTTACAACTGACCCGCTACTTTTGAATCTTATACCTACAGAATATGATGCCGAAGAAAATGGAATTTTTGAGAAATCGTATGATGATCACAGCGATAGTAATTTAGAAGATACAAGCGTACCATGTGAATATATTAATATTGTTGATATAATAGAATGTGATATAACTAACGCAATCGGATACAATGAATCAGGTGAGGAGTCTAGGTTAAATCCCAAAGATGAATTCGCTGAGAAAAAAGAAAATGAAGAAAGATTTGTAGCTTCTAATTCCGAAAACAACTCAATTGTAAACACATCTGAATATGGTGACCAAAATCAGGTTATTGATATTTCTGAAAATGATTGGTCTATTAAATGCCATTGTAGTTACACGATTTTAAAGAACGACAAAAAATTGACGGAAACAATGACGTCGAAAATCGTAATAGAAAATTTAGAAACGAGCTGTACATGTCCAGAATCCTCTAGGCATGATACAATTCAGACTGATAAATCAAACCTCAAC